ATTTTGATCCTTCGCTACGACCTTTCATGACACGCTGAGCAGTTCTGGAAAGCCTTCTTTAGCACTGTGACGTTTCTCTACTGCTACCTCAATACGTGTGTTCACAGTACAATAGTAAGGATGTGCAGAAAGAACTTTAGTATTCTATTTATGCCTGGATATACTGAAAGAGATGCTGATATTCTATTTATGAGTTTAATGAAGTCCACACATTCCAGTAAAAATAAATTCAAATTGTACTATTTAATTAAATACTTAATGCTCAAGATAGTTATAGACAAGCCCCTTTACCTGAACTTCACACAGGGCAAATGGGGCAGACAACCTGCACAAACGGACTGAAAATCTCAGCAGTAAAAGATCTCTAAAAAGCAGCCTTCAGCAGGGGAAGATGCAAAGGTTATTTCTTGTCTTTGATGAACCTTTCCGTCTACCGGATTCAAAAAAGGACTATCTGGGACAGCAGGACCATCAAATCCTCCTACGCTTCCATACTGCAGGGTGCCTTTGTTACCTCATACACAAACTTGCTGTTTAAATTTCCAACGTCTCATTGACTGCTGATCTCCCTATAATTCTTACTTTTTTTCCTGCAGTAACTCTTGAGATTTCAACATCATTCCCTTTATGCTTTTTGCCTCTCATCCTTTTCTATGTTCTTTTTTATACCTCCTACTCAGTTCCTTAATTTACTAGTCATCCCTTTCTTCTCTACTCCACTTCCTCACGCTGAATTCCAGTGACCAATAGGAATCTATTAATCCCCTACTTTGTCAAGTGAAATGTTCATAGTAGTAATAACACAAACATTTCTCTAGAGCTCCTATCTCTGACCCTATTTATTTCTTTTGCATGTTGCATAACTCTCTCATTATACTTTATTACTTGTCTTCAGCACAAGAGCTATCTGCCTTTTATTTGCATATCACATTTTGGGCAGTAAACTTGAACTACAAACTGTGTAAAAAATTTAGTGTACATAGTGTAGTGTTTTGTATGTGGGTATACGTAAATTTATTTACACAGAAGCAAATCTACAGTGACTCCTTTAATTTCAAAATAATCTAGTTCAGGAATAGTGTACATGTTTGCAGAAGAATTTGGCTCTCAGAATGCAAGTTAGAAAAAACATATTCCATCATTTGCAGACAGAATAACAAAACTTAAAGGTGATAAATGGGACTTAAAGGATGTTCAAATATCTTTCATTAAATTTATAGTAAAACAATATCAAATGTTCCTTTCCTCTTAAAAATTATTGAAAGCAAACTGAATTGTCTGTATAAAAGACCAGGATTATATTAATTTAGCAGTTATTGCACTATTCTCATTTTCTTCTGCATAGATTTTCTGCTAAAAGATTGATGGGGTAAATTCTTTCCATTGTCTCAGTCTAGACAGCAGCTAGATTAGGATCAAAGCAAATGCCAGTTCTCATTTGGCCAGGCATGCACGGACAGTACTTAGCTAACAGTGATATATGTAAAATGAAATATAATGGCACAGAAATTCTATGTATTCAGAGAGTAATTTTCATGGTTTATCCAAAACAGATGTCTGTGTAAAAAATATTTTATGAAAGAGTCTTATTAAAACGTATAATGCTGCATAATCTTTCCAACAGACTTGGGTAAGCTATGTCTGCCATAGGTCAGTCAGAAACTTTTGAATTGTAACGTGAGCTATGACATACCCTCTCAGCTCTTGACCTATTTCTCAGCCAATAAACCTACGGCATAATAACTGGCATTTTGAAAGGGCTGGACAATTCTGGGGATGCTTCAGTGAGTCCGACATGCTATACCACCAAAAAATTGGGTGAAGGGGAGGTCCTTGCTGTACAGCTTGGTGAGGAAGGTAACGATTACCCAATTTCACAGAACTACAGAATCGTTGAGGTTGGAGGGACCTCTGGAAATCTAGTCCAACCCCTTTGCTAAGAGCAAGGCCAACTAGAGCAGGTTGCTCAGGGCTGTGTCCAGGCAGCTTTTGAGTATCAGCAAGGACAGAGACTCCACAGCCTCTCTGGACAACCTGTTCCAGTGTTAGACCACCCTCAGAGTGAAAAAATGTTTTATTGTGTTCAAGTGGAATTTCCTGTGTTTCAGTTTGTGCCCATTGCCTCTTGTCCTGTCACTGGGCACCACTGGGAAGACTTTGGATCTGTCTTTTTTACATGCTTCCATCAAATATTTATATATACTGATAATGTCCCCCTGAGCCTTCTACTCTCCAGGCTGAACAGTCCCAGCCCTCTCAGCCTTTCCTTGTATGACACATGCTCCAGTCCCATGATCATCTTTGTGGCCCTTTGCTAGACTCAGCTCAGTACATCCATGCCTCTCTTGTCCTGGGTGTACTGTTGGCCCGTGGTTAACTTGTCCACCAGGACCCCCAGATCCTTCTCTGCAAAGCTGCTTTCCAGCTGGTTGGCCCCCAGCCTGTACTTGTGCACGAGGTTATTCCTCCCCAGGTCCAGGGCCCTGCACTTCCCTTTGCTGAACTTCAGGAGGCTTCTCTCTGCCCATTTTTCCAGTCTGTCCAAGTCCCTCTGAATGGCAGCACATCCATCTGGTCTATTCAGTCCCATCATCCAGGTCATGAACGAAGGGGCTAAACACTATTGGACCAGCACTGACCCCTGGGGAGACATCACTGATAAATGGCCTTCATCTGGATGCTGCCTCTGCGTGCCACTGATTACAACTCTCTCAGCCTGGCAGTTCGGCCAGTTTTCAGTTCACCTCACTGTCCACTCATCTAGCCTGTACTTTATCAGTTTGTCTACGAAGATGCTGTGGGAGACAGTATCAAAAGCCTTACTAAAGTAAACAACATCCACTTCTCTCCCCTCATCTACTCAGCCAGTCATCTCATTACTGAAGGCTGTCAGGTTGGTTGAGTGCACTTTCCCCTTTACAAATCCATGCTGATTACTCCTGATAATCCTCCTGTCCTTCACATGTCTGGAAATGGTTTCCAGAATTAGTTGCTCCATGAGGTTCCCAAGAATCAAGGTGAGGCTGACCAGCCTGTAATTCCTTGGAGCCTCCTTCTTGCCCTTCTTAAAGACAAGTGTGACATTTGCTGTCTTCCAGTCCTTTGGAACCTCTCCTAATCGCCCTATCTTTCAAAGACAATCAAGAGTGGCCTTGCAATGACACTGGCTGGCTCCCTCAGCACTGACTGGTGCATCCCATCAGGGCCCATGGACTTGTGTATGTCCAGTTTGTTTCCTAACCTGATCCTCCTCCACCAAGGGGTAAGTCTTCATGCGTTGCTCCAGACTTCCCCTTTGCTCTCAGGGGCTTGGAATTCCTGACAGCTGGTCTTTAGTAAAGACTGATGCAACGAAGGAATTCAGTACCTCTGCCTTTTGTGTGTCCTTTGTAACAAAGACCTGAAAGATTTGCACATACAGCTCAGGAAAGTAACTCCTCTTTGGGAGAGGAAGCCACATGTAAGAAGTCCCATAGAATGAGGCAAAACTGAGAAGGAATAAATGAAAAATTAGCTCTAACAACTGCTTAATAGGTTTTCTTAATGGCATTACTCATCCTTCCGGAATATGCAAATCTCTACTGAAAAAGCTAGTTGAAGACAGAAAAGGTTTGTCAGAAAGCAGAAAATTTGAATGATACTGGCATTGAGAAGGAAGTGAGCCTGTGTTTTCATGAGCGTGATGAAGGTTGCTGACCTGAAAGTAAGTATCAATAATGCTACGGGGATGAGACTGTACCCATCTAAAACAGCTGGCAACACAGTAGATGGTACATTTTTCTGTTGAGACTGGATCAAACGACCCACTTTTCAAGGAATCGGAACATTAATGTTACTTAAGCCTCCAGCTCTGGAGGACTACAACTCCAGAAACTCCTGGGGAGACTGTGGTGCCAGATTTCTTCAGAAGGCTCTGCAGAGACGAACTCTGCTCTGTAGCCAGCAGCCTCACGATCCGACCGACGCCTTCCTTCTATTTTGACCACTACTACTGCTACTGAAGTTAGAGACCCTGGAGATCTCTGACATAGCTGTGAATCGGGTTTCAGGTGTCCCAGGCCCTCGTGCTCCAAAACGCTGCTGTTGCTGCGTCCTTCGGACCCACCGCGCTGCACAGCCCTGTCCAGCCAGCGGGGCCCAGCGGGAGCCTCACCCCAGGTCCCGGCGCACCCGCTCCCTCCCTTTTACCTCCTCCCCAGGCGCGGTGTGTCAAGGGCCACGCCGGCGGGGGGGGAGAGCTGCAGCCC